TTGTGTGTTAACTTTACATCTACCTACTTTGATGAAGGTATTGATCAATTCTAGTAATTTTTAGTGAAGTTCTTAGTATTTCCTGTATATAGAGCCAGGATTCTCCTCCATGATAAAAAGGAAAAGATTATGCTAGGAATGTAGCTCAGGGGGTAAGTATGCGTCGAGTTCATGCAAAGCCCTGGTTTTCATCCATAGCGCTATGGGGTAGGCAGTAAATAGTGCATGATACCCTACATGTAGAACTAGGCACATCCTTTGTGCATCCAATGCAGGAAGAAATGGGAATGGGGAACAACACCACTGTGTTCACAAGTGTTTACTTCCAGTGAGTCTCATGTGACTGTGAAAACAAACAGGGCTTGATCTTAGACTGCCTGTGTTTTCCCAGAAAGCATGAGGCTGTCCTGGTTCTGTTTCCTTTGCTCTGATAATGTGTCCTAGAAAAAAGCAACTTAGGGGAGAAAGGATTTATTTGACACATTTATTATCCATCACTGTGAGGAAGTTAAGAACCTTGACTTGACAACTCCATTTTGGCATTTTAAGATTTGTCTTTTGCTTGTGTTTGGCACTCTCCCCTAGGCAAGTGCCAAATGATGCTGTTCTGACTCTAGCATTCCTACCTTTACTATCCCTGTCATTTTCCTATCCTTTACCACCTCCATCTCTTCCCCCTTTCTGCCTTAATCATTAGAATTTGTGTAATCTTTCTTTCTTGAAGGCATCAATCACAACAGTAATTTTCCAAGTGAATGGAGTCAATCAAAGAAATCATGGGTGATGTTTACTAAGTTTCCTGAAGTTCAGATATTGTGTAAGAGCGCCTATACTTGTCATTATGGAAGAGAAATCATATGAATAAACTCATTGATATTATTGAAAACAGTGTTTTATTTCTAGTAGATGAGAAATGCAATATTTGGGGGAGGCAGTTGTGGTGGTTTGAATATTATTGCCCCCCATAATTTCAAGGAGTGGCACTATTAGGGGGTGTGGTCTTGTTGGACTAAGTGTGTCTCTGTGGGAGCTGGCTTTGAGGTTTCCTATGCTTGGGATATGAGTGTGTCAGATGACTTCTTGTTCCCTGCAACCCAAGACGTAGCCAGCATGATGTGTGCCTGCACACCACCATGCTCCCTGCCATCATGATAATAGATTGAACCTCTGAAACAATAAGGGAGCCACTTCAATTAAATTTTTTCTTTGTAAGAGTTGCCATGGTCATGGTGTCACTTCACAGCAATAAAAACTCTTGTCTAACTAAGACAACAGTAGAATAAGATAGAAAAAGTATCAATATAAACCTGTTATTTAATTACGTGGCAGGTATTTGGTCCAATGGACTTTTTTTTGACGTTTCCCCATTGATATTAGAAATTACACCCAGAGCCTTGTGTTTTCTCGCCAAACTCTCCAGAACTAAATCACTACCTCTGCCATTGTTTTAGGACATAATTTTTGTTTAAGTCATAGTGTTTTGAAAGAATGGACTTCACTTAGAATGTCCTGTTCAGTGAGAGAGACTCAAGATTGGGCAAGTATAAAACTTAAAAGTTTGATTTATAGTGTGTGGCATTACATAAAAGGCTTCATACATGCTGCTCAAATCCTCTCCTACCAAGTTGCAACCACAAGGAAATCTAAGAATAATTGCAAGAATAATATGGGGCTGGGCGGTGGTGGCACATGCCTTTAATCCCAGCACTCAGGAGGCAGAGGCAGGCACATCTCTGTGAGTTTGAGGCCAACATGGGCTACAGAGTGAGTTCCAGGAAAGGCGAAAAGTTACACAGAGAAACCCTGTCTCAAACCCACGCCAAAAAAGAATAATATGGATTAATAATCAATTGCTATTGTGATTGATGAACTGAAAAAATGAATCCACAAACCCATATTGATTTGAGCAGAAAGGGGGAAATTGTGGTGGGATAGAGTGTGGAAAGAAGAGGGAAAAGCAAAGGCAGTGGGTGAAGGGAAAGCATACTGCCAGTGGTAGGAATACTACAATTAAAGGATCATCATTTGGCACTTGCCTGGACAATAGTGCCAAACATAAGCAAAAATAAATCCTAAAATGTCAAAACAGGATTGATACCATCTAAACGTGTTTGTCCACCCTTAGCCTTACCAGACTTATTATAGGGAGAGAGTCCGGCAAGAGTGCAAGCTTTACAGTGGTTGCAGAATCACCTATGAAACAGTCCTATAAAAATGACTTCACAAATTGAATCTAAACATCCCCAAATCAACCAATTCAAACTGGAGCAGTCTACCCAAGAGTAACTTTTCCTCTTCAGGAATGTAGTTGTCAAATGCTCTCTGAGCCACTCTGGAAGAAGAGAAACTTTTGCATAAATGGAGATTTATGAAACCTCACAGAGGGAGCTGGAGCAATAGCTCAGCTGTTATGCTCTTACAGAGGACCGGGTTCCATTCCCAGAGCCCATATAAGGTGACTCACTTCTTCCTGTAACATAAGTTCCAAGGAAATTGGCAACTTCTGCTGGATTATGCAGATACCACACTTACATACACTGCTATACTATGAATATACTACACACAGAGATGCACATAAGATAAATACAAATAAAATCTTTTTAAAAATACATTAAAAGGGCCATTAAGACTGATCAGGAGAAGGAAACTCACTCTCATTCCTGGGGTGGCCTGCCCCTGGTGGCGAGGTGAAAACATGGGCTCAGTGTCACCTTGCAGTGGTAGATAGTTGGACACTATTATGGTGAGCAAACATATGATGGATTATGAGAGAGAGAGAGAAACCGAATGGTTCCTGTCTTGTGGAGAGAGGCAGAGCTGAAGAGGTGGAGGCATTGAGGAAGGAGCTGAGGTGGGTGGCTTGCTTGCTACCCCAGGCCATGGTGATGTCTGGGCCCCAGGTGCTGCCTAGGACCATGTCTGGGTCCATGGTCCTGCTACAGTAGTGATCTGTATTCAGAGTGGGAGAGCTGGTCCCTTTCGGCTGACCTGCTAGATGGTGGCTGGGTGAGGGTAAAATGCCCCCCCATCTTTCCCCTCTTCATCTGCGGCAAGCAGGGGAGCTGACCCAGCCCTTCACCAACCAAGTCCTGCACCTCACCTGGGCAGCATAGTATCGCTAACCCTGACAACCGGTGCAAAGTTACACTGCCCATGAGAAGATGAGCATGGAAGATGTGGTCTCACCCCTCATCTGCCATAAGATGGTGTGGATGAATAAGAGATGCATTCCCCCACCCCTCACCACTTATGACAGGTGGGAGAGCAGGAGAGCTCTCTCTGCCCCTCACCAGCTATGGCACTCAGGAGAGTGGCCTCTGTACCTTGCCTGGACAACACAGTAGAGCAGATCCTGGTGGTGTAGTTGTGGGTGAGCTGGCCTTGATGGTGCGAAAGCAGGAGAAATGGCCCCAACACCTTGCTCCTTGATACATAGGGTGAACTAGCTGGAGAGCTCACCCTGGCTCAACCAGGCCCAGAACCAGGGCTATGAATTAGCCCACCCCACCATCCACCCCATCTATGATCTGCTGGAGCACATGAGGGGCCATCCTGAAGATCCAAAGCTGCAGATAGCCATGACACAGGACAGTTCTAAGATATCCAAGAGGAGTCCCAGTGGGGGCCCCGTATTAATACTGTAGCAAAAACCATAGGCCTAAAACCACACCTATGACTTTGCAAGGAGTACTTGCCAGTAAAGATATATGGACTAAAGGGTTTACTGTGTGACTCACTGTGTCACACTGCAACTTCCACAGCGAGATTTTTCTTTTTCTTCCTTTATTTTCTCTTCTCTTAGATTATTTTATTTTATTTTATTTTATTTTGTATGGCAGAAGTTACAAGGACAGAGGGTGGATTGGATATGAAGAGACAGCGAGATGAATAGGATCCAGATGCATGATATGAAGGCACAAAGAATAAATAAAAGTTAAAACAAATGAAGTATGAGGAGAAGAACTGAAGAGCTGAAGCAAAGTAGAAATATTAGAATATTTAAACAGTAATTTAAAAGGTTTAAGATTAGATTAAGAATTCCATATTTTAAAATGTTCAATCTAAGTGACAATGTATTAAATGTTTTTTGTTTTGTTTTGTTTTCTTTCGTTCCTTTTGTTGTTGTTTTTTGAGACAGGGTTTCTGTGCTTTTCCTAGAACTTGCTTTGTAGACCAGGCTGGCCTGGAACTCACAGATATCAGCCTGCATCTGCCTCCCGAGTGCTGGGATTAAATGCATGCGCCACCACTGCCTGGTTATATTAAATGTTTTTATTTCATTTGCAAGCAATCTTTTACATAAATGAAATTAAGAGAAGTGCGGTATCTAAAGATGATCCTTAAAAACAATGAAATAGATATTTAGCTACCAAGAGTGACTACCTGAACATTAATATATTCAGACTGATCTTCAGTGCTGGATACATAGCCAACAGAAATAAAAAGGATATATCAAAGAAAAATATACACTAAAAGAAAAACAACAGAGTTTATTGTGATCCTAAATTAATGAATCAATCATAGAAAACAGTATTTGCAAATGAGAGAAAATAGAATTCCCACTATTATATATCATAATACTAATGTGTAAAGAAACACAAGAACCCAGACACTCCAATGTCCACCACCAGGCTCCTCCACCCCTGTGACATCCAGTGTTAAGTTGTTTTTTTTTTTTTTTTTTTTTTTTTTGATTTTTCGAGACAGGGTTTCTCTGTGTAGCTTTGCGCCTTTCCTGGAACTCACTTGGTAG